AAAGAACGAAATTACTCAACTGCGATGGGAGATCGTCTTTACAATAGATTTATTTTCTTGTTTCAAACTAACTAGAACCCGGCGGCACCCAGGTGGAGAAATTGTACATTATCACCCAGGTGGGGTCTGATGTACCCCCTAATTAGGAACATGAGGGAAAAAACATCAGGAATATTCACAGATTCGAACGTGAAATGACTTTCTAGATGTATTTACTCCATAATAATTATAAACAGAAACTGTTTGTAATAAGTTAGATCCATGAGATATAATCAGAGACATATAAATGGCGAAATAAATTATCAGGGTAAAAAAACATGATATCTCCGTAAACTTTTTAAAAAATTTACAACACTTAATTCTGTGGGATTTCATGCACTGTAACTATCTTGATACCTGACTAAAGACTCCATTTCTACCAGAATATCACAGAATGAAGTGCTTTGGGATGCTATAGACGATCACAGAAACATGCGTGCATTCAAATCGAAATGCCAATGATTTAAAGTTTATCTGGCCATCTGAGAGGGTGCGTTGCTTCATGCCCACATTTCGTAACTCCCACATCGCGTTGTTTCCACATTTCGATATGCCCACATTTCGTTAGCCCCACATTTCTTCATTCCCACTGTCTCGGAACATACCCGAAGAATGCACGTTTGCCAGATCTGTGTGTAACACAATGTGCATTGGGCCCACAATGTCTAGTACACGCGTCTAGTTATAGTATTTCCCACTATATGGCTTCCTGAATTCCGAATACGTAATATGAGGAGGGGGAATATCCTTTCTGCATGAGAAAGGAGACCACTTTCACTGAACATTTCAACCTTGCTCGGCCATTATGAACCTCCTTCCTAGTAAATATATTTTTCTGAATATCACTCGAGAGAACAAAAGAAACTATACTTTTTCGAAACGATCTTACCTAACTTGGACTGAATGAACCTTTCTAAAACGTATATTTCTCCATAAATTGCTTGAAGGAACAAGGGATACTACTTTTTCCATATTATATAACCTAACTCAGCCTAAATCAACATTTTCCCTAAAGAGTATATTTTTCCGAAAACAACGCATCAAGAAGAGGATATGGCAACAGTGCGTCCTTCGGGTATGTTCGGACACTGTGGGAATATGGAAATGTGAAGCTAACGAAATGTCGGCGTATCGAAATGTAGGTGTAACGCAATGAAGGCATTTATTTAACATTTCATTCCACTGTGAGCATTGTAGCTATTTCGTAGTTGATATTACGCCAGTCGGGCTGCCAGCCACTTCCGTATGGAAATTTCAGTTTTGGAGTGATTCTTTCCTCGGTTCTACTCAGATGGCGTTACTTTCATTTTGTCTATGAAAGACGCCTCGGGGTGGATATAATGCCAACTCGATTTTTGTTTGGCTAGGCTTCGCTGAGTCGGCGGTCTTAGGACTGCTGGCTGGAGACTACACTGCACTGATGAGAGTCAAAGAGCTCGAAACCGGTCTGTGGTTGTCTAGCGGCCTGGCTTAGTCGAGATCAATAGGCATTCAGAAAAGAATCACTTGTATCAGTATTCGTTTATACGAGTCGATGCATAGATTTCGGGAGGATGTAATTCAATATCCTGCGTGGCATTAGCCAGGGAAGTATCTGTTTTTCTCCCGAAATCTACCACTGTTGTTTATTTTATGAACACTGTGTGAAAATGACTTTGAGCTTTTTGCATTTATTCCATATCGACAGGTTTTATGCTAAAAAATTTAATCCTGTCAAAAACGGTGAATTTCTTGATTTATCACCAGATTGAGTTTATCAAAATAGTTTGGTGTACTTACCATGATTTTGTTACACCCAGTATAATGATGACTACAATTCATACATAATATTTCTGCAATTAGTGCGATACATTGAATGATGTTTTGATATAGGTTCATATAGATTTTCGAGAAATTAACACTCTCACTAACCAACTTGCAATTTTGGCACCATTATCAAATGTTCACAATCATACCACTTGATGAATTTGAATCATTGTACGTATTTCTCACTCATAATTATTATCGAATTCACAGGAAGTCATTTCTGAGCATCAGCTCAATTTCGTACGATTGATTCAAACATTTTCAAGAACATAATCTCTAACTCATTTTGAAACTTATAATGCTTGAAATGTTGAACTTTATCTTTGACACATTTTGAAGAGTATATTTAACAGATCATCATTATTGCATGACTGGTAGTTAAAAGGTATTGTGTTGGAAAACTCGTGAGATATTAATTATCATAAGTTTACATTATAGAACAATCAAGATATCATTTCAATATGAAATATTTATATACACATCAAAACTAGGAGCCCGCTCAATTCCATTATACAAAACAATAAATTATATGGATGGGGCTCAACTTGTATGATATAGTCATCGAAACCTATATCAGAGTTAAAACCACAGTCACGCAGAATTCCAATGACGATTTCTGCACAATAATCCCAATATTATATCCTAAGATGAAACCACTTGAATATGCAAGATGTGACCCTATTTCAGATGATTGGAACGATCAGAAATTCACAGAGAATAGGGTGAATGAGAATCTATATTAGACATAATGATAATAATGCCTACAAGGCTATATAGAGGCATCAGAGCTATCAAAACAGGTTCGTTCTGAACTCATACATAGTTAACTGTTCGTTGCTTCCACGAAGCTGAAATATGGACAATTGAAGAATAATTCAAACTTTTTCATTGCGGCCTATTGGATAGTACTCAATATGAAATGATTCACAATAGAATATGCATAGAATATCATTTTGACGATGAAAGATCGCAACAACTCTGGCAGTGAATTGTTATTGGCTGAATGATACGAGATTTATTGTGAAAAACAACTCTCTACGACTCACCCAAATCGATAGCTTTAATGATATTTTGTTTACCAGTTAACCTGAACTTAATACTTGAAGAGATGACGTGTTCCTGTGATTTGCAGTGTCTATCCAATCCGCGAGGCAAATTTTTCAAATCATTATATCCTAATCGCCTCCAACATGATGACTTTTCGGTTGAAAATGATACGCAGTACCAACAAAATAGTTTATTCCTTACCTCAGATCCCGTCAACCATCAGATATATTTTTTATAATTATCAGAATTGAACGAACGATTTTGTTTGTTACCGGTTACAAGAATTTTTTTTTATTCCGGTGTCGGACGTTTGTTTTTCACAATCAATTTACCTTCAAAAGACAGAGCACTGAATGGGTTCACCAAAAAGTATTTCACTAAATCGCAATCGTTTGATACATCAATTTTTCAGAAACTTATAGAGCCCCTATAATCATTAACCTAACATAAACAATGCACTCGCGTTTGTCCGCAATTCGCGAAGCGAAACGACAAATACGTGCTATTCGGGCGTATTCGGGCATTGGCATTGCGCGCGTAGGTTGCGCAATGTGAAAGAAGTTTAACCTCCTATAGATGTTGCCAAGTTACGCGTGATTTCCTAGGGTAGTCGATTGTGTTCAATTCAATATTTTTCCAACATTATAATGTCTTTTTTCTATGCGGCACTCTTTTGAACCTACTCGAAATTCTCGCAATTAATTCGTTCTTGAACAATAACAATGTTAATTCTCTCAATGAACGAACCCACTTCGATTGCTTACAATTTTTCAACTCTTAAAAGTTCATCTAATTCCCCTCTCTATATGTTCTACGACTATGATATTGGTATTGAATGATAGATAAACTTCTACTGGTGTAGTTTTGTACAGCTTCTGGTTTTATTTTGTACAAATCTGTCATTGTGTACTGTGTCTCAACTGACGCTTGACCTCTGACAGCTGATGGTTTGACATGGTCAGACATCTCGTGCCATAAGCTGTGGAGTGTGGAACGGGTTCTGACACTTAACCTTCGACGTCTCTTCTTTGGCGTGATGACGTTCTGGAAGCAGAGAAAGTTTTTTCTCTTTCTAAACAATAGTTGGTTAATAATTATTCTTTTTCTTATCTTTACGAGTTTCATCGCCAATTGAATGTCTTCGTTTTAACCTGCAATCTGTCATATCGTGCCCCAATGGAATAGATTCCATTCAAACCAGGAACTGATCAATTCAAATCATCACGATTCAATGAAATCACAATAAGATCATTCTATTCAAGTACAATACGATTTCGATTTTACATACTTTGCGAATGTTTTCATGTTATGAATTCTTTACAAGATTACAATTCCAATCACTTTCCATTTTTCACAGTTTATGACAGAGAAACCGTGACCTTGAATACCAATTCAAAAGATTTGGAATATTTTAGGCCACGAGATTTCGTTTAACCTACTTCTGACATCGATACTTCAGAATATGCCTTCGATATCATTTCATTTGAACATTCAGGCATTTTGGGCTAATTAGATCGAAGTTGGGGGAGGTTATGGAAGAAGTCATAGCCTATTATCATAGGTTCTCATTTGCATTTTCCTATAGAATTCGGAATTTTATACATTATTGTGAGTAGTTTATGTACTTTGAAAGAAATTATTGGATGCTATTCGAAATGCGAGACCTGCATATAATTCCGGTTGAACCGGAGAAGTCTGATTACTCCTTATTTTTCGAAACATCATTACCAATTTCTTAAGTCTAAGTATCAACTCAGAGTCTCTCGACATTGGGGAGTGCCGCAGAAGCGTCAAATCGGGAGAAAAAAATCAATATATTGATGTATCAATATATCGAATAACGCTTATATCCCAGTACACACATTATCATCTTATTTTTGTGTCTACAATTATTTTATTAACATTCTCATAATAACTATAATTATTATTATTAAACATCACCAACTTGGTATGTTGTCCATCTATTTCCTTTCCTCAGCTGTTTCACTTTCCTCTGGAGTCAATCCGGAGAAATTGTTCATTTTCTTATGGAGGTTAGATGGCAAGTTCGAATGGGAGTTGATAGAGAGAGCTGTCGTGCCTTGAGTGTTGGATGGTGGCATACTGACTTCGTCTATGAGGAGCAAAGCTTTCCTCTTGAATTGCCTCAGTTGAACATCGTTTAGCTGCATAAGGTCCGGAAGTAGACTCATCACAAAGTTTTTTATTCCTTCCTCCCTCTTGTCAGTTTCATTCTTTGGTTGAGGGGGAACAGACAATTTAGCTTGCTTTGCCGAAAAATAGGCACTGGAGGCTTTATCAGCTGCATCACTTTGCACCTTCCTTGTCCTTACTGGATGACCATGAGGACCTTTTGATACAGTCGGCATGACCGATGTTGGCGTACCGGCTCTGTCCCCCTGACTTGCCCATGTTAACTGACTCGAAGTTGCTGAAGAGGATGGTGATGGTGATGGACTACTCATATGGATATCAAGAACATCGTCAATTGACTCGTTTTCTTCACCCTCCATATCATCGGCGTCGAATACGTCAGGCGTGGAAAGCGAGGTCAGGGTCTGCGACACTTCAGGTACATTACCAGTTGGAGTACCAGCAACTTTTACAAAAGGAACCGCAAACTGCATAGCCTCCATTAAATAGTATGGTTTCTTTTTTCCTCCACTTCTACTTGGTTTTGGCTTGAGGTTCTTCACGAAGGTGCTCCTCAAATTTCGCCATTTCTCTTTACATTCGTTCACTGTTGAAAGAGAATTGAATACTAGAGTAGTGCATTGTTGTTGAGTACCGCGGTATGGAGTTTTTTTTTGAGTACCCATACTCTTTCTATCTATTTTCAGGTATCTGACTACAGGTTGTACATTCGTTGCGTTGGGACTCTACTTTTGCCGAGGAGAAACTACAGTTGGAAAAATAGTATCTGAGACGACTATGATCATATGGAATGAGCTGAAAGATTCCTATATACATGCCTTGCCCTACTACACAGAATCAATGGAAAATCATTGCTCAGCGTTTTCAAACGTTGTGGAATATTCCAAATTGCATAGAGGCATTGGATGGCAAGCACATCCGCATAGAGAAACTACCTAATACTGGGTCGAGTAATTTTAAGTACAAATCCTACCACTCAATAGTATTATTAGGATGCTGTGATGCTGATGGCATTTTTACTATGATTGAAACTGGATATGCTGGTAGAAACAGTGATGGGGGAATTTCCAGAGCCTCCATGATTAGAAAGATGTTATGTTATTCACAACTCGACATTCCACCCCCATCTAAGTTTCCTTTGGATGATTATGATGATTGTTCATTCCCTTATTACTTCGTGGGAGATGAGGCTTTTCCATTGTCTCGATATTTGATGAGACCTTACTCAAAACGGATCCTTGACAACATAAAAAGAGTGATTGAGCCGGGCAAGAAAAACGATAGAATGCACGTTTGGTATGATGACGGAAAAATTTGGAGTAATGAATGGAATACGTTGCCACAATGTGAATACGAGCAATAATATCATAAAGAGTGTTTGCGTGCTGCATAACTACATTAGAAAATGAGAAGGATGTCAATATTCACCACAACAAGTAGAAGACAATGCCATAAACAACATACCTGCTAACCTACCTGCTCGACCCAAAATAAATATTTGTTCGACCGCTTATGCCTTACGAGACTATTTAGCAAACTATTTTCTAATGCCGTTAGCATCACTACCTTGGCAGTGGAATTATTGGATTTGAATATTAATAAATATATGTTCATGAACCTACTTCCTCTTTGAATTTTCTTATTGACTGTTGCTAGATAATGAATTTGTTATTAAGGGCCTTACCTGACAACTTGACTTCTCTGGCAACCTTGTTCCATGCCTTCCTAGTAGCATCCCTTTTTGCATAGGCCTGAAGGGTGTAATTATATAGCTCGGGATACTTCTCCACTTCCCCCACGAATTTTATATTGAAGGCCTAGAAAAGTACAAGAAATAATGGTCAAATCGAAGGGTGAATATGCATTATAATATGAAATTACCTCCATTGAGACGCACGATTCACTCGAACAAACTGCTTCCTTGCTAATCGCGTGCGACTGAAAACGAGGAGATCTGTAATCGTACGTTTCTAGACGACCACTAAACGACCCGTGTGCGGGATCCAAATGCTTTGCTTGTGAAGTCGAGTAGAGGGGAGACCGTCGTACGATTCGAATCGCGTCGCCCATGTCTCCGATCGACCCGTGTGCGGAGGGCCTTAGTGAGGTGCCCATCCCCACATATACCTATCTGAATATGCTAGACTACTCGTATTTGTACCTAAACTCTTGGCGTGAGCGTCGGCGAGATGTAAACGGATTGAATATACGTTGTCTAATGAGGATTTACTAACGTTGTTGGAAAACATATAGGTATTTCAAGTTTTTTTTTCTTCCAACGGTTATCAAATACCCTCAATAAAACGTTTCGAATAAACGTTAGTTCACCGTGAGAACTCTGCCGAATCAATGAAAAGTAGTTTAGCATGTGAAATACACGTTTTAAAATAACGGTACGGTTCTTATACTCATAATTTTGGGAATTTGTACAAAAAGTGGAGGGAAAATGGGAAATCCGACTCCAGAGGAAGTTTTCATGTTTCAAAACGGAATTTTGTCAAGCATAAAATTGCACAATTTTGCCGCCAAGATTCTACCGACACTGCTTCTCTTACAGTTTACGAGATCTCAATGATGAGGCCCTTATTCCAGCTACCCTGTACAAAATTGGTTAGCTTCAGTATCGAGAAAAACGCTATTTTATTCAGTATCTCGAATAATACTGAATATAAGTATCTCAAACGTAGAAACATTCGTTTCGAAGTCGATGAATAACCAGTGATTGAATCAGTATTTCCTGATTTGAATGAAATACTGAAATTAACGTCTGCTAATCGTTTAAAGCTTTCGAATAATCTTTTTCATATAATATGTAATAGACATTTTTAAATGAGTGATTATTTACGTTCCATCAACATTATCAGTACACGATCACATGACGTATCGAGTAACTTAGAAGTTATAAATATGTGAGTAAACAAGAATTTGTTGTTCGAATCTTTCACTTTTCTAACGTTATAAACAAGTTATTTCTTGCAATTATTCTATACCGTATACATTGTGAATGTGTCGTTTCATTAAGATAGAATGACGTGGTGTTGCTTGAAATTATCAACGTTTTATTTTTACGTTCAATAGTAGTTGTACATGAACAGAGAGTAATGAAAAGTTGGGAATAAAACGTCTAAATAACGTGTTTATTTCCCGGTCATCTTCAATCAAATTTCAACGTTGACGTTTCCAACCACTAATGTTATTTCCACGATTCCAGCCGTTATTCAACTTTTTATCAACGAGTTTGTGTTTACTGGGATGATTTCTGAAATATTAATATTAATATATATATACATAAAACTATCAATGTCATAATCATCGATATATCTATAATTATTGATAACTAGCGACTTTTTACAAATCTCAGTTCACTGGAAAAACATAAGCATGTGGATTTGATCGAGAAATGCTAATTTAATATTGCTATATTGCTTTATAATGACTATATGGTTTATCGATAATCATAGCGCGATCTAATAACTATTTCTATCGAAAAGCAAAGATTTTTATTGTTATTAATAACTATGGAAGCTCATACGATACACGAGAACGGTGTGAAAGTGTCGTGGTTAATAAATAACTTCCAAGATCACGATAAAGCGGCAATTTCCATTACTTCGCAAGCTTTTATACCTAAAAACGATATAATTTCTCACCTGTACATGAAACCAGCTAATTTCGTGCATTTCATGCATTTCATGCCTTCATTACATCGCAGGTCGTATATTTACATACACGATTATAGTTTTTGGAACGGGCGATAAAATAGTAAATCCTCATATAGACCACTATATATACCATATGATGAAGAATCACGTCAATGTAACGTACTATCATGGTGAAAGTTTATCAGTAACGTAACAACACCAATTATTATTAACGTTATTGTCGCATTGCTACCAAGATGTGCTGATCATAACATCAACATGACGTCTATTATATGTCTTTTATAGGAGTTTTGAAAACCTCACCTCTATTTCTTTGGAGTCAATCGCTTACATCTTAAGAGTACGTCAGTGTGATGTTTATCAGACTATTTCACTCGTCAAGTGATCTGACCAATCACAAGCCAGTGAGACAACCTGTGTCATCGCGAGATAACTAGTTGGCATTCAATTGTGATTGGTCTATCAGCGTTGGTGTTTTCAGCAGTGTGACTACTATGGATAGCGAAGCAAAGTCTGTCAGTTTGGCATATGATAGTAACAATTAGCTGTAGTTGTCAGAATAGATTGCTCATTTATAATAAATGTGTTTTATGCTCCGTGAAAGTGAAACAGTCTAGCAAAATACCATTACCCAGATAGCACAAATTCCTTTTGAGGCCCTTCTGAGGCGTTCACAATCATGTCCTCAGGACGTCGAGAGCGAGCCTGAGGACATTCTCAAGACGTCCTCCTGTTACCATTCTCTACATACTAATAACGTCTCAGAACATCCCTATAAAATCTTTTGAGACAACCTCAGGACATCATGGTAACAACTTGAGGCGGTTTTTGATGATGTTTCAAGGAGGTTTAAGATTTATGGGAGAATATTATTCGTATACAGAATGAGTCACTATAGTGTGTTCTCCGCCGATATCAGCCAAACCGTCAGATATATAAAATGAAAATTCAAGTACAACACTAATAGGGTTTCATAAAAACAATCACCTAAAGTTGTTTTCATATCTATAGGGTGTTCGAATTCCAAGATATCGGTTGATGATTGGTTTTTTTCAATGGAACACCTTGTATATTATTGCATTTTTGAGTTTTCCCTGAAGAGTTGATTCCATCAATGCATCACACTTGGTGTCTAGTGGGAATTATTACAGAGATATAGGGTGTTGACAATTGAGATTCTTCAAATGTAGGATTTTTTGTGTCGAAACTATTCATTAATGGTCAAAACGGCTCACATGTTCCTGTCATAACTTTTGATTAGCTATCTACTGATATTTATTTGGAACAGATACAAAATAAGCTGATCAGTATTCTGAATGTTAACCCACCCTCTATTTGTTTCGATTGAATGTCAGTAGATAGTAAATCGAAAGTTTATAAGGATATGTGAGCCGTTTTGACCAATATTGAATAGTTTCCACAAAAAAATACTAAAATTGAAAAATCTTGTTTTTGAACACCCTATATCTCTGTAATCATTCTTGCTAGACCCCAAGTGTGAGAACCTAAAAATGCAATAGTATACAGGATGTCCCATTTGGAAAAAAACAATCATCAGTCAATATATCTTGGAATTCGAACACCCTACAGATATATATGAAAACAATTCAATGTGAAAGTTCTCATGAAACCCTATTACTGTTGTACTTGAATTTTCTCTATTTATCTGATGGTTTGGCTAAGTATACAAGGATAACACACTATTGACTCACCTTGTATTATGCAAATGATAATTTCTTCAAAATAATATGGATCTCATGATATTTGCAAAATTCCCCTCTATTTATAATAGGTTCAAATGAAAAACCAAATGAAAAACTTTCATTCTATTATTTATAACTTATTCTGAAAAATTTCAATTTCCTTTTCAAAGAAATGTATTTCAGCTTCTTGTTGAGCACTACTAGAAGTTATTGCCTATTGATAGTTATATTTCTCCATGTTGTTTTTGATTTCTGAACTCTGGACATTCCTGATGCAGAATAATCAACTGGAAGTTGAAGCCTTCATGCAATATTTTATAGATTCTGAAGAAGCAAAACTATCTTGGAATGAAAATATCATCAGGTTTGTGTTTTGCATAACCTTCTGAAACAAACAATGTATTAATATTTCATGTCCAGTACTTACTATCAATGATATGATTTATGTAGTTATAGGTACCAACCATTATTGAATCTACTGAAATTTCAAGTCTGCATATGTATACAATCTTTCATAATTTCCAAAGAAGCCAAAATGCCTTGGAATAAAATATCTCTGCTCTGATGATATCATCATTTTGTGTTATCAATAACCTCCTGAAACAAATAATGTACCTATTAAGCCAAAATATCTTGGAATGAAACATCTCTGCTCTGATGACATCATCAATCTTGTGTTCTCAATAACTTCATCTGGAAAAAATAATTAACCTATTAACATTTCATGTCCAGTACCTACTATATCAATGATTTGATTCAGGTACCTACCTTTATTGAATTCATACTGAAAGTTCAAGCTTCCATACAATATTTTATAGATTCCGAAGAAGCAAAGCTATCTTGGAATAAATCATGATGATATCATCAAGTTTGTGTTCTCAATAACCTCCTGAAACAATAAATAATGTATATGAATGTATCAATATTTCATGTCCGGTAATATCAATGATTCTATTCAGTATTTACTCACCATTGTTTCTTGCTACCTGAGAGAAATGTCATCAACAGAGATTATCATCCTTTTGTTATTGTTATCTTTTAATTCTGTGCAATAAGTTCTTCTCGCAATCATTTTGTGAAATAGAAATTTGATGAAGGTATTCAATGAATACTCTAATAATTTTGATATAATCATCAATATATTATGATGTATCTTGAACAAATCATGACTATCATGAGACATAACCTCAATTCTAGTTCTTCTTTTTCTTCCTTTCGTCTTCGATGACACGTTATTTCATGGAATGTCATCTGAAGACGTCCGTAGGCACGACATTCTTTACATCCTCAGGCTGTCACTGAAAGAACTCATTTAGGACGATTACAGCGCTAAATTTACGCCTGATGATGTTCTTAGGTTGAAGAAAATAGAACGTCCTCTCCAGGCGTTTGGCGACACATTGAGGATGACCTTAGGCGAGTGTGTGCTATCTGGGTATGTTCTGAATATCTCCTCATAATTCTGTCTTTCATTGTCAACTCAATTATGTTGCCATACAGCAACAAGAGTAAGCAGTAATAAAAACAAAATGGCGAAAAAAGTTGTTTTTCTTTTGTAACAAACCTTCAATTAATATTAATCTCAACAATAATGATAATAATTTCTTC